GGCAAAGTTGGGATCTGGCTCTCTGCTAACCCTGCAAGACTATCTACAATTCACTAATCCTAGAAAGCAGACAGACTCACTCTCAAGGAAAATACTCTCTCTTTTTTGTGTGATTGAGTTTTTTCTTTCCTTTCCTTTTTGCTTTATTTTTTCATTTTTTTACAGGGAAAATTTGTTGCAATATTACAAAGCCATCCTGCTCTCTCTGGTTACAGCTGGGTGACACTACATGGGCAGCAGAGTATGTACAAATTAAACTGCAACAACGTGCCAGGGAGAGGCACAGCAATATCATCAAAATTATCCACAGTACAATATGACTAATGTTGTGTGAAATGCATTCATTGGTGAAATGATGTCTAGGTGTATCTTAAGGAGTTATGCTGATGGAGATAATGGTTCTAGGATGGAGATAAAGGAAGGAAAGGCGAGTGAAAGACAAAAGGTTGCAGCAAGGGCAGCCTGGCTGGGGAGGATGCTCAGGCAGGTGAGTGTGAGCAGGAAAGCTGAGCTCCTCTGGAACACAGAAGGATGTGCTAAGCACTCAGTGGCACCTTTCCTACTCACATACTGGTGTGGAGGTGTGCTTGCTGTTTCAGGCACGCACATGTGTTTCTGTGCTCTTTCTCACCTCCTTTTATATGGACTTTTTGCAGATTTATCTAGAAACACAAGCTGCACATGTGTTAAATATTCTCTAACTTGTCCTTTTTCCCCCCTCTTTCTAGGTATGAAGGCAAACAAAAATCCCAAAGAGAAGGGACTGATTTTTTATTAGCACATCTAAAACCAAGAAATCAGCTCAGATTTAGAGAGAGGATGGTTAGAATAAACACTTCATTAAGGTGCACTTGCAAGTTTTCATCTCTTTCCTTAATATGAGAGTCTTTTTGAAGTAAGTAGATGTTTTGCCTGAATAAGGAACTTAGGTATTGGTAAATTAATTTGATTTTCCTCTCCATTAAACATAGATTTAGGAGAAATACCTCTAGTGACCCATTGTACCATCATGCTTATCCACAGATGTTTATCTAGCACATGAACATTTTGTTTTCAAAGGAATTTAGGGATTACCCAAGCAAGTATTTTCTTTAAAATCTAAGTTCCCTTTTCCAAAACAGCTGAGGTGAGCTCCCAGCTCACTGAGTGTCTTTTAAAAACCTAAGTACTTTTTAAAATCAGAGCACTGGTCAGCAAAGTGGACTTGGCTGAAATAAAATCATTCCCTGTGCATTGTGTTGCTGGAGTGCAGGGCCTGGTCTCTGATGCAGTCACAACCTCTCAAATTACCAGAAAAACAGAGTGTTTTGATGGTGTTCTTGATAATTTGCTACCCAGTTGCTTACAAAGAAGCAGCTTAGGCCGAAATCATGCAAAAGTTGTTCTTTCTGATGTGTGGGAGCCGTCTTAGCTAGTTTTGCTTCTCGTTTATTGATATGTACGAGGATGGGAGGTAGACCCAGCCAAAAATGCTGGGATCCAACTATTTTCAAAGCCCTAAGATATCCAGAGGGGGAGTTCATTTTGTCTCCTCATGAAGATAGTGGGTCCCCATGGAACATTTCAGTGGAAGGCAAAGCTCTCCATAGATGTTGGGTGTGCTGGACTGAGGGTTTCTGTTCTGCTTCAAAGGCAAAGGAGGGGGGAGTGATGTGATAAAATCAGTATTTTCAGCCCTAAATCTAACTTGGATCTGGGGGTTCTTTGTGAACCTTATAAAGCTTTTTCTCCAGCCAACCACCTCCACTCACCACTGAGCATGTGCCAGAAATTCCCTAGCAAAGGAAGCTGCCAAAACTCAGGGAGTTGTGATAACTCTCTGCTCTCAAATCCATAAAACCCCCAGGCAGGGCTGCGCTTCCCCAGTGCAGGCAGGGGCACGGCGTGGCCAAAGGGGAATATCCTCAGCCTGGAGCCCAGGCTCAGTGATTCTGCACCCTCTCTGTGCTGCAGTTTCGTGCTTTTACAGGGCTGTGATGACTCTGTGCAGAAGAATTCCTGTGTGCCCTATTCCTTTGGGAAATAAGCTTGAGCCATTGAGTCTGGGTGCAGGAAAGCACGTTCTCCTCGCTCTGACAGGAGTGTGTGCAGTGACACAGCGAGCTCAACCTTGAGAAGGGGGAGAGGCACTCTGGGACTGAGCTGGTTTATATCTCAGCTGATTCTCTTCTCTTGCTCTTCCCTACCCCCTTAATAGCTTGACAGGAGAAATTGAGGGAAGATGCAGCCATCTGATGAACAGGGCTGGGGGCTGGGGATGGATGACAGGGAAGTGGAGCGCAGCGTGGCTACCAGCCAACTTCCAGCAAGAAACAGAATATCTGGCTTCCTCTAATCTCCAGAGGAAAATTAAGTTACAAAAACCTTTAGTGGAAACTTTGCATACGTTCAGTACCATTGCCATGCCTGACAGAAAAAAAAAGCCCTGATGTATTATTTAGTTTATAGTGATAGAATTAAAGGCGTAAGCTTTCCCACCAGGAACGAAGGGGGAAAATCCTCTTGAAAACTAAAGGCAAAACCCCTTTTAACTCATTGATTGTTTTGTGCTGTCAGAGCTCTTGAGAAATTCTCCTTTCTGTGTCAGAGGGTGGTTGTGTGAATCGTACTTCTGAACATCTTCCCGGTGAGTTTCTGCACTTGCGTCCAGAGCCCTTCTCGTTTTCCCAGCCATTTGTGCCGCTTTCCACAGGAGCCCTGCAGGGCAGGAGGAGGTGGAGGTGGGGAGGAGGCTCCCAGTTCTCCTGGGCAGACACTACCCCAGGAAAGGGATTGGCTGCTCACGCTGCCACTGAGCCCAAGAGCCGAGGCCATGGCCCGCTGTTCATCAGAAACCTGTGTTGGAATTCCTGCCCCTCCTCCGTGTCTGTCATCAGTGTTGATGAAAAATCATGGAGTTTGATTTAAAAAAAAAATAGCTCAGGTGTCAAGTGAGCAACAAGTTGGGACCTATGTGTATGAGAGAAAGCACTGATTAAAATTAAATTGCCTCCTTATTGACAGGTACATCTAAAGCAGCTGGAGCAACCATGGTGAAAGGATTACTTACATGTTAGCCAGTTTTATGACAGGAAAAAAAGAAACTAGATTGGCTGGTTAGATCTCTGCTTCATTTAGTCCTATGGCATGTTGATAGATGTGAACTGAGGTTTTTTTCATGTCAGAAACACTGAACAAGGGTCTGAAATGGCATCATGTGGCTCAGCACCAAGCATTCTCCTGCCTGGCTGTGCTATCGTCTTGCTGGTTGCTCAGGCTGGTAGGAATATGGCTCTGTTTACTGGGAGAGGAGAAAGTACAGCTGCATTTTGCAGTATTTCCCTCTACCTGGTTGCTCCCAACGTTCCTCATGTGATTCCTTCACCAGCCTCATCTGAAGGGAACATTTTCCATGCAGATGAACTTAAGAGCCATGTTTACATGCCATTTCCCCTCTGAGAGTTTTATTTCTCTTCAGCCTCAGGGACCTCAACACCAGCCAAAACTCAATATGGGGCTGAAATTGTACACTGGCCACAGGAGAGGGACGTGTTTGTGTAAGTGTGCACGTGTGTGCACACACAAAAACAGATGTGTGCCGTCCAGAATAAATGAGGCTATTCAGAGTGTCACAAAATGGACAATTTATGGCCAGTTTCAGCAATTAGTCACACCAAAGAAGTGAGGTGGTTCAGTATTAAAACATCACTGTTTTGTTTACTTTAAAAAAGCAACAGGGAGTTTCAGCTGATGAGCAAAAATACTGAGAGAGGGTAATTAAAGAGAAACAATCTCCAGTGTTTCTCTTCATTTTGTTGTGCTCCCCTTACTCAGTCTTGAGAAACAGAGCTGCTGCTTTCTTTTTGGGAGGGTGGTGTGTGGGTGGCTGCACGGGCAGTTCTGCAGCAGGAGGTCACTGCTTGCTTCCTGCCAGGCTCTTGCACCTTGCAGTGAATTAGGGTCTTTCCTACAGAAGTGCTTGCACCCAGCAGAGCTCCTAGGTATCAGGCTCTAGGGCCATCCACTTATATGACTATTTTTATTGTGCTAATAGGGAAAAAATTCCCTTGAAATATTGATAGCTTCTAAAATACCCCCCAGCCCAAGAGTAACTTCAACTAAGTTAAACCTTGAGCATGACCCATAGTTAAGCACCTTATGTTAGTATAAATATCCTGTTCCATTTGAACTGACTAGTTTGTTTTCTATTCAGGCCCCAGTTCTCCTGCTTCCAACACCTGATTTTATGCCACAGTCTTATGATTAGAGATTTCACATATGTTGTTACAAACTCCTGAGCAACCCAAAGCTCTGTGCTATATATATGGAACCCTTTAAAGTGCAGGTTGTAGGTGTACAGTATGAAGGTAAACTTTCCATGACTTTTTGTATTACTTGGTGCATGGGCAGCATTTTCTGACTTGTGCAGTGTGGGTGTGCTTGGGGAAGCTGACTGGTGCTGATGGATGAGCTTGTGTGGGGATAAGAGTGAGAGATGGAAAGTGCAGTGGAATGGTAGGGCATTACTGCAAGTATTTTAATGAAAGAAAAGATATTTAAATACGTGGTTTGATTCACTGCAAATTTGTGGCAGTAGATGGGGCCCTTACTGTAATAAAATCCCATCGAGTTGGGAAGTCTCTTGGAGGTGCTGTGAATGTGCAGATATTGGTGCTGACTTCTTAACAGATCAGCTCTGACCTGACTCGGGCACTCTGTTGTTTCCATGTAACTACTCATGAAAAAAAGCCAACACAAAAAGGTGGGAATCAATGTTCTTACACTTCTGTGTCCCACCTTTTCACTTCCACTCTGTCCTGATGTCTTCATTTACTGTCTGTCTCTCCAAAAAGCTGCAAACCCACAGGCTCCCTCGTCTTGCTGACTGCGGACAGGACACTGTGTGAGATCAAGGATCAGCAAGAAGGCAATCACAGGCCTGGAACAGGATGGGGCAGAACCAGAACCTCACTTTGTGCCACCACGCTGTGGATTCAACATTTCCCTCATGCAAACATTATTTCCTGGCAGTTCTGGGGCTGGCCTGAAATGCAGACCTGGTCTGCTCGAGGTAGAGCCATTATCCTAAAGTGCTTTTATTGATCTGTTGACTTTCTGTCTCCCTCCTTCTCTTCCTCTCTTCACCCTGCCAGCCTCCTAAAGACTCATATCTTGTCTTTACAACCAAGGTATTTTAAGGGCCGAACAACAATTTTGAAGTCAGATTAGACAAATTATACTTGACCAGTGAAACCAGATATCCCCTGAATGATGTCTGTAGGATTTGTCTACATTTACGAACAGCCCCTCTTCCTTCTCCTCTTATTTTCCACTCTCTGTGTATGTCCTGATGTTCTTCAAACATCCATTTCAAGGCCTCGTACATCTTCCTTGTAGCAGCCTGTTCCCCAAAGGGGCAATGCCATCCTGTCATGCTTTATTTTTGGTTGGTTAAAGAAAGCTACAGCAGTAAATCTATACGTGTGCAGTGATATCCAACAGTATTAAAGGCTGAGATTTAAAGAGGGGCCTGAAAGAATTAGTAGTTGATGCTGTGGAAAGCCAAAAAGAGCTGTGTGCCTTACTGGAAATTTCAGGTGAAACATGTTAGAGTGCAATATATTACAGTGACCTGGCTGCAAATCCCTCTGAGCTGGAGATAAAGGGAGAAAGATTAATACTGGAGAAAATGTTCACAGTCCTGTGTATTACTAAATACTAAAAAAGGGGGTTGGAAGTTGGTTGATTTAATTTGATTTACTATTTCAGTGTTTATAATTTCTCAGGTTTCTGGAAAATTGCAATTCCTTCCAAATTACATTGCTCGTTAACTAATTGGTTAAGGCACAGGAATTTAGTCAGTGGTGTGAAAAATATACAGGTCAATACTCAACAGCTAAAAAGGCTAAATTTGATTATAAGAGTGCATTAATTTTTAAAAAATGTAAGTCTCATATATCTGAATGCATCACTATTCATGAATGTAGTACTTGACAGATAAAGAAGTTATCAATAGTTTATAGTCGGGTGTGCATATTTATGTATAAATGCTTTATAATGCTAATTTTTAATGTTGAAACAATATAAGTAAAAACATATTTCAGTAAAAAACATAAACTCACATTGAACTCTTTTGTTAGGCTGGATAGTATTTTATCCTGTGAGGAATGCCCATGAAAATAGTGTGAGTGTTTTCACTGGGAAATATTAATGAGATTAAGGACAAAATCTTCTATGGTCAGATTTATTCCTTATTCAGCTTATTCATATCACCATTAGTTTTCTTTTGATGGAACCTCACGGAGAAGAAGATAAATTAATTTGTACTAATGAAAACGGGTGCCTGTGCGCTACTGAAACCCTTCAAGTTTCTGCTACTGCTCTTGCAAGCCAGGAAGAGAAGGAGCTGTGTGTGTCTCAGGTGGGCAGCCGAGCAGCACAGGTCATGGCTCGTGGTCAGGGGTCGATGTGCAGAGTCTGCAAACAACCCGCTGGTGGAATGTGTTCCTGGAGAGAACTTACCTGAGAAATTGGAATGTAGTGAAATGTGGAGGGGAAAAAACAAATCCAAGTCTGCTTCCATATTGCTGGGGAAGTGAAAAAATGTTGGTGAGAAGTTTCTCAGACCATGGGATGCCCACTTATGGGCACAGGAGAGTGGATCTTGATGGATTTGGGGCTTCCTGTGACGAGCAGCACTCACAGCTCAGGGCATTGCAGATGGCTTTGCTCGTCGTGGGGCTGTGTCAGTGACAGTGAACTTTCCTTTGGAAATCATAGGCAGGGAGAAGGGAATGGGAGTCCTGGGGGGAAGAGAATCTTGAAAGCTCGAGGCTTGGCAAGCACCCCTGAGTCATTTACTTTCTTGGAGAAACAGAGCAGGACCAGAGCCCTGGCCTGATGTGCTCTGAGCTGCACCTCTGGGGAGTGCAGCACAGGCACTTCATGCACTGAGCTGGAGGTAAGAGCCACAATTGTCTTCCCTCCCAGACAAGAGCTCACACTGATGCTGCTCACAGAGAAAACATAATTCAGTGTATTCTGAACTAGGCACAATTATGCATTTCTTTGTCAAAACTTAGAGATTTTGAGGCAATGTGGTTTTGAGAGGGGGTGTGTTTGGCCAGTTCTGTAGAAATCTTGATCAAAGCACTGGCTCAGTCAGTGAGAAGCTATTAGCAACTGCTGTAAGTAGACTGAGAAGTTTGTTTCTGTGTTTCAAAACCTAATTGCTCAGTGAAACTTCCTGAGTAAACACGTTTCAGGGCCAGAAGAGGCTCATAACCATGCTTGTCTGGTAAGAGATTGTACAAAGATAAAGCTGATGCTAAGTCTAAAAGGTAAATTTCTCTTTACACAGAGAAGGTGAATTTGTGGACCTCCCTCCTGCAAGATGCTGTCAGGACAAGCTGTGAAGTTGGATGTCTGAAACACATCAAGATGATTTCCCAAACACCAGCACGCAAGTAAACACATGATATAATTTGCAAGCAAGGGAAAGCAAGCCAAAAATCACATTTCAGGATATAAATGATGCTTGAGCAGAATTATGTGAAACTTTGTCTCCTCTGACAGCACCACTGAGCATGGACCAGAGCATTTTGTGATGTGGCACTGCCAAGCACGAGCTTGCACATGCCAAGCAGAAGCTCAGGCAGGTGAGCTGATCTGCTGGGGGCAATCCTGTGTGGACAGCAGTCCTCTCCTTGTGGCCTCTGGGGCTTTGCATAGCAGAAGTTTCCTATGTATTAGAATGCAATATTTGGGATGTGCAGGATTGAAGGCAGGCCCAGGGAAGGGGACTGTGAACTGGGAACTGCCTGGCTTTTTCTGTGAGGATCTGCCACCAGGTGAGCCAGGCAGCTCCACCTGCTCTGGCAGATGGAACACAGAACAAGAGGAAGAAGAAAGGGAAATGTTCTCCAGTAATTCAAGGGGAGGAGAGAGGCAGAAGGAGCCCTGTGCACCTTTCAGCTCACACTGAATCGAGCTGCCAGCAGGGCAGTTGTGAGCTGCAAGGTGTGAATCCCACAGGAGCCCACTGTAATTAAGCATCCTGCAAGGTGAAGAGGGGGGAGAGCATTGCAATAAGTTCATCAGCATCATCCCCACTGACCCCCTGCCCCCCTCGGATACCCTTTGGAAATCTTCAGCGTGTTTTGTGTTTGTTTCAGAGCCAGGAACCAATGCTGGCAAATGCAAAGGTGTGAAATGTTGGCCAACCGATCCCAAGTGCCCTCCAAGGCACTGCAGGAAGTATTGCTCCAAGTGCATGATGAGCTCAGTTCAGAGGCTGCTAAGTTAAAGCTTATTACCCTCATTAAGTGACGTGTGTAATGTGGTGTCAGGCTTCTGATACGGTGAACTCAACATTTTCCAAGTGCTTTGTTGTTCTGTGTGTTATGCTTGGAGGGGAATTCAGTTTCTGTTTTGCACTGGGTCACATTCAGCCCAGGGATAAGCTTTCTTCCCAGAGCTTGGAGTTTGGGATCACCTCTGTGAAGGCAGAGGCTGAGTTTGGGGCAATGTGCTTTGTCAGAACCAGGAGGAGATTCCCTGTGAACAGAGGGAAACAAGGAGCAGGGTGCAGAGATGTTCACATGCCTCTGCTGAGAACCAGTCCCGTGCTGTGAGCACTGGGGCTAAAATGCCAAGCCATGCAGGTGTCCCTGCCCTGTGCTCCTTGGAGCTCTGCGTGCCTGGAGATCACGTTGTATTTCCCAGCAGGGTGTAAATACAGGACAGCTCAGGTTTAGCTTTCTGTGCAATTTAATAAGCCCCTCAGAGGCAGGAGCAGTGTGGTGGGTGGTGCAGGATCAGAAAGCAGTTTAGATTCACCAGGTACCGTTTGCACAAGAAGACTTGAGTGTCTCTGCCATGTGCTGCTCCTCATCTCCATTATCTGTCTTTCCTTCACCTGGGCTACCACAGCTTCTCCCAGTGACGGAGCATTGGCTCTCCAGTCAGCTTTAATCTCTAGCTCAGGAGGATCAGGTCAGGAGAGGTTTGAGGTCCTCAACCCTGCAGTGAAGCTCTCCCTGCTTCAGAGGGCTGCAATTGAAACCAGCTGATCCCACGTCCCTTGCAAACATTTCCATTTCAAACCACTGAAGTTTTATGTCTTTCTAGTAAATTTTTTTTTCTCAGGCCTCATAAATCTCATAAAGATCTGGAACAGCCAGTAAATCTGGCCATTCAGATACACATTTTCCAGTAAAGAGGATAATGGTTGCTGTTCCTGATGCCACCTCCCCTCCCCACCCCTCAGCTGGACGAGTTCACCCCTTGCCTGCCCGCTGCTCACACGCAGCTCGGGCCAAGCTGGGAGAGGCAACGTGCAGGTCCTGTTTGCACGAGGACTGAGGCATTGCTGGACCTCTCCTGGCTTTGCCACTGCCCCCACACGTGACCTTGGGCAAAATCATTTGTCCTCTGCGTGTCTCAGATCAGAAGAAATAGGTTGATGCTTCCCTGCTCAGCGGGTTGGGAATCTTGGCTGAATCTTGCTCAGTTCTACTGTGAGAAGTTGCAGAACTCCAGGCTAGGGATCCTCCTAAACATGAGAGCAGATTCTGTCAGCAGGGCCCCAGTGCCTGCTGCTCCCTGCCCTCCATGCAGGTTGCTCGTGGCTGGGCTGTGGTTGTCTCTCGTCCCTGGGATAACCCAGAGAGGAGCCTTTCTACCCTGTGCACCCATGGCAAAGTCTGAGGCTTGGATTTCCAGGTAGACTTGAAAAGACATGAACTCAAGGACAGTATAAAGCCAAGACTCCTCAGACTTCCATTGGAAATACCAGGCAGAAGTGCTGAAGTTATTCAGAAAAACATACTCTAGAAATAGAAAATTGCAAGCATATTTCCCCTTTATTTGTTGTCTTCCAAATTCAAACAAGCCTATTTCCTTTCCTGCAACGCTGCTTTTGATAATCTTGTGCCAAAGGCACTGAATCTGCTCTTATTGCTGTCAATAGCAAGATGCCTGTTGCTTTTAATGGCTCAGCTATTAAAACACTGCATCCCAGTTGTCTGGCTGTGAGCAAGCCCAAACTATCGCAGTGACAATATGGAACCTTTTTCCTCTCTGAATGTTTCTCTGCAAAGTTTGACCATTTTGGCTGGGGTAAAACATGTGTCTATCTGGGATTCTTTCCAAGGATGAGATTTTGACAGCTGTGCTCATGTTGGCAGAAATCCTGACATCTTGTGCTTCGTTGAAATAGCAGATTCTTAGTGGAGAGGGGTGGGAATCCGATTTCATAGATGAACACTTATGAATTGAAGATTGTGATCTGGCTGAGCTCTTTTCACTTGGGTGAAGAGGCTGAACCCCTCCTCTGGGAACAGGGTGGAGCCTTCCTTTCTTCCCCTCCCCACCTGTGGGCACAGATGGCCGATGGGCAGTGGGGTTGATGGAGCTCTCTGTGCCTCTGCCAGCTTCGTGCAGCAGTTTGGGACATGCCTTGGACTGCACCCACGAAAGTGGGAGTCAGCCTGTTTGCAGTACATGCCTAATGATTTTCATTTACATTTTGGATGTTTGGCCACGACTGAGGGTGGTGTGGGTGAGCTTTCAATGAAAATCCACCTTTGTGGCCCTGAGCAAAGCTCAGTCTGTAATTTATGCCACAGAGCCTGTGAGCAAACAAAGCCTTGCTATAGTCTGAAGCAGCCTGTTTGGGGGTTTTACAATCACTGTTATGATTAAGACGATTGAGTGTTTTTTGTTTGCCTTTTTTTTTTATTTTCACAGAGTGAAATCTCCATCTTGAACTGGAGAAATATTTCCCACAAACACTGTAATTATTCAAAGCTGATATATTTCTGCAGTAACCTTCAATCTGATGGACTGTCACTTTTCTGATGAAGAATCACTTGTTTGGAGACTAAAATTCCTATTATCTCGGCAAATAGGGAATGGTATCTCAGAAGATTGTGTCATGAGGTCACGCAGGTTCTCCACATCAGAGCCAAGGATAAACTGGAACAGGTCTGGTGGAAGGTCATCAAAAAGTTTCCAGAAGGTACTTTGCAAAGATTATATTTATTTCAAAGTTTCCAATGGCCAGATAGTTCCTTTATATTTTACCAAGAAAAATAACTTAAAAAAAAGTCACGAGGTTTTAAAACCACATCAACAATAATTTTCCATGTCTGGTATTTCACTGGAAAACAAGGAAAAATATTTTTTAAAACACAAACAAGATAGTAGTCAAACAACAAAACCCCAAACAAAACATACCTCCTGATGAAAACAATCCAAACAGTTTTGCTCAGGAAAGATTGTAGCTTAGGGTTAGACACAGAAATTTGGATGTTCACGCTTGCACCCCTGGCAAATGTAAGGTATTTTGTGTAGCTTTTAAAGCAAAATCAGCTAAACTGGCTCAAATTCATTCTTGCTGTGCATTAAAGGATGTGTACAGATATTTTTTTTAAATACAGATATTTACTGTCCACGAGAAAGCACGTGGGTAGCCTTTTCATGTCTTTAGGCACTCAGGCCTTTGTAAGGATTTGGGAGGCTGTAGATCTCTGTGATGGGACAGAGGAGTTGGATTTGAAATGGGTGAATCTGGGACAGTCCCAGCACAAGAACACGAGGATGTTGGGGTGGGCAGGCTGAAGGTGAGCACTGAGCACACATTATTTATCCTTGCATAGGCTGGCCGTGTCACTGAGGGGCCACAAAAGTGACCAGTAACTACAAAATTCAATGGGAAAAGCTGTAGCCCTTGTGCTTTGCTTGTGGCAGACTGTTTGAGGAGCACAGGGAAGGCCACTGTGTGTTATGGGGAGGTTGGGTGAGTGGCACTGACCCATGGCCTCAGAGGCCCTTTCAAAGTCATGCCTTAATGACAAGCTCTCCCCTTCCTCTCCCACTTGTTTTTTGAAAACTAGGGCAAATATTAGCACATCTGGGAGTGCTGGGCTGCTGTGTTTGGAGTGCTTGTAGCACCCCTGTTAGCTTGGTTAAAACTAACATCCCCATTTCTACACTGAGATTTTCCAGTGGCATGTCTACCATAAATTAAACTGAAATTCCAACTCTGAGTTGTCTTCTAATTCTGCAGCAGATCTGTTTACTCTGGAATAGCATAAGGCAGATGTCTTCATCTTTACTGATTCTTAACAGGTCACAGGCATTGACTTTAAATAACTGAAAGCCTTTAAAATAATTTTAAAACATGCTTCCCCTCCCCTACAGACCTTAACCTTTAGTTGGCCTTAACCAGAAACACTCAGGATAAAATAATCCTAAAACAGACCATCATAAACTAAGGAGCAGCTTTAAATATACAGTGTTGATCCTTACCTGAAACCAGGGAAGAGGTTGGAATAATTATTGCTCATGTATCATGCACTTCTGTATCTCAGTGGGCTATGTTCAATCCCTTAATGATGATGATTAAAAACATACTGGAAACACGTGGTAATTAGAGAGGGCACTTAACCGTGATTCTGAAAGCACAGGGGTGGCTTTGAAGTGGGACTGGACACAGTGCCTGTTGCCAAAACATTGCCAGAGTCAGGAGCTCCGTGCAGCAGGTCCTTGGGAATCATCTGCACGATGCCCTGCCTGTTTTTCACCTGCAGGATCTGCCTCCAGGACCAGCCTTAGAATTGCTTCTTGTACCTCAGCGAGGCTCCCTCAGCCCTCAAAGCAAGCTGATTGATGGTGGGTGAAGGATCATGCAAATACTCTGCTTTTTAACTTAGGTAAAGCCAGAGTTGAATTTGGGTTTGTTTCTCCATGGGGAACCTTTGGAGGGCGAGGCAGTGTTTAGGAAGAGGGAAGGGGGAGGAAGTTTGGGGTGGCAGCAGAGAGCGGGTGCTGGTTTAGGCACTTTGCCCTGCCAGGACTTCAGTGTGGGTGCTGACATGAAAGGGAATCCTCAAGCCACGAGCTGTAAACCTGTGTTTTAGGAGTGTTCCTGTGGGTGAAGGATAGGGGCATGTATTGCAGAGTGCATTCCTTTGTTTGTTTTCCCCACTTAAACAAACAAAAATACTCCTATTATAATAAGCAAAGAAAGATGAGTGATGAGGCTTGTGCTGTAAAATCATGTTTGCTGGAAGAGTTGTGCTGTTCTCCATTACTTAATTTCAGCTGAAAAGGGAGGGCATGGAGGTTGGGGAGAACACAGCTACTTTCTTGGAAGTATTTTTATGAGTAGTAGAGACGAGTCCTCCCAGGGGGGAGCAGTTTAGCTGTGTGTAAAGAGAACAGAGCTCAGAACAGGCCCTTCCTGTGCCTTTGGGGCTCAAAGAGATTCACTTTTGGTCATTATCCTTTAATTTTCTCCATCATCTCTCTTGGTAATTTTCTCTGCAAGCCCAAATTTAGTTACTGTCCCCATGCTGATGCCACAGAAACCAGGGATCATTGCTGGTGGCAGATTGAGGGAGCTGCAGAGAGTGGAGTTTGTTGAGGAGAAGAGGCAGCAATATCACGAGTCCACATCCGACTCCACTCTTCCTGTTGGGGTGTTTGTTCCTTGGAGAAGCCTGACGTGGCACGTGGAGTCTCCCATGCCCTGGCCCGTGCAGGACAGGACCAAATCACTCTGGCAGGGCTTTGCAGCACACCTGGGGACTGTATTCCAGCTCAGGATCTCCCGAAGCTTCCAAGCACGTGGAACCAGTATGAACAACAGGCTTCAATCCATTTTCTAGATAAGAGCTTTGCCTGTGAAAAAAAATCAGATGCCAAAATGTGGGGCTGCAAACCCCAACTGCTGAGCAGTTCTTTTTCCTGTGAGAAGGAAGAACTGTGGTGAAAACTGAAAAACCCTACTCCAGCCCTGTGTTGGGAACAAAGGTCAGTGGCTCTGCAGCAGCCAAGTGTGTAGCCCAAGGCCAGTGAACACCTTGAGCCTCGTGCCGAGGCTCTGGACCTTTTACAAAAGCTGGGCACGATTCCAGCACCGAGCCAGAGGAAGGACAGCTGACCCATGGTGCACCTGGGGCATCTCAGCCTTATTTCAGTGTCACATAAGGCTTTGTCTGAGTTTATTTTATTTAATGGCCTTTTTTTTTTCCTGGTTATACTGTCACAGGAAATTCTCACTGTTCTATTACCATTTTCCTGCTGGAACTAGCCTTAAAATATAACGAATAAATAAATACATATACATACATATAAAAATATGCAGACAGGAAAGCCATTCAGATCTGCAGAGGCCTTGATAACGCTGCTGATGAGGTTGCCAGCTTTCCCTGTGTCTGAGCTGAACAATTCCCCACCACCTTCCCGACCCCTGGGAACTCAAGGGGAGGTAGTTGTGAAGCTTCTAATTCTGACTGCAGGTGTCTGGTTTGAAAGACACCACATGCCAGGCTGTAATGTCATTTAGGAAAAAGGTAATTAAATAAAAATGCAGATGTGTTACAGTCACAGTTCCTGAACATGAAATGCCCGTCGGTTTTAAAAAAGTAAAGAATAAATCTCTCTGGAGGAGCACTATCCTCTCATCTGTTGTAATATTATCCAGTATTAGTATTTTAAATAAGAGGAAGAGTTTAGAATGTCAACATCTGCTCTTACCCATCTCTTTACAGCAGGAACATTGTGTTTGAAAACAAACAAGACAGGAATGCCTGAGCTCCCCTCATTATTCTGCTCTGTGTCTCAAAATATTCCTGCCAGTGTTTACTTGTTGCACATTTTGCTCCATCATTTGGTGTTCTTAAGGTACTGTAGTTTATCAACACCAGAGCAGTTAGACCTGCTTGACTCTGTCATAACAAAGCAGGTACTCACTGATCTTGCTCTTTTGAATTCTTAACTTGAAAAGTGTAAGTGCCACTATATTCTGGATAAACTGCCTGAAAAAGATTATTTTGAAAAAGATTAGCCAGCTTTAGGCTGGGCTGTTCCCTGTTGAGCAGTAATGATGATGGTAGCACTGATAACAATAAACTTACTGCAGAATTCAGCTGGTCTCAGTCCAGCACAGGATTTAACCCCATGCTTACCTTTCAAGCATGTTTGCATCCCTGTTGATCAGTTAAGCACATACTTTAGCTCTTTACTCTGTTGCTGCTGGATTCCAGCACATGCTGCTCCTGCTGTTTGTTTGAGATGTGCTATTTCTGGGTTTGACCAGCCAGGATAAACCTTTGGGATTAGCAAAGGCTGGAAAATGGCTAATATATTAATTATGCAGTATAATTTAGGAGGTTTTTGATCTCTCCTTTCCTCTGTTTAACTCTTTTTCTCCAGTGCTACCTGAGGTTGGGAGATCCACAGCTGTGAGTGGAGACTGTTTGCCTTGGAAAAGGAGTATGGAGGTACCAAGCCTGGCTGCATTCCTGTGAATCCTGCTGGGAATCTTTCCAGTAGTGCTGGGGATTTCTCCTAAAGGCTGAGAACTTGTAATTGTTCAAATTACTTTGAACTCTTGCTTTTGTTAAACAAAAAATGAACCCCAGAGCATGGCTTCTTTAGAGAGGTACAAACCCACACATTTCTAGTCCTCCTGGTGTGATGGAAGAGAGCTTAAAACATGATGTGGTTATTATTTCTAGGCTCCAAAATAAAAAAGTACAGAAGAAGTTTCCTACACTTCTTATTAATTTTTCAGGATTTCCAAGCCAATTTCAAGCCTTTTTGAGACCTGACAGGATTTGAGCAACTAGTGCTGGCAATTCCTTGAGCCCCTTAAGCCAAGCTTATGGGGAATCTGATTTTTATTGAAGTTTTTTTAAAATTCTTCCTCCCTTACTGCTCTTCTGAGCGTTACAGACACACCACGTGAGAAAGAGTGAGGGCTTTAAAGTCTGTGCCATCTAAAATGATTGTCACAGAGTAGGAACTCCGGCTGCAGCAGGTTTTATCATCTCAGACCCCACTCTGCAGCATTTACAGAGGAGAAGAGCTCT